TCCTGATGCATGGCTTCAACCCACCTGTCATCCTGAACTGCCTCCTTAAAGGAGTTAGGTTCAATGCAAGTTGAAAAAGCCTTCAAATAAGACTGGTATCTTGTTGTTAGATTCCCATAGTATAGCCCTTTGGACAATGGATAAAGGCACTGGGTGGCAGTATTCTTTGTTGTCACATAATCCTTCAGCCAAATGGGAGGTTTGGATATTCTTCCTCTTTTTCTAACATCATGAGCTATTTCATAAATTGACGGTTATTGAGTGGAAGTTTCTGATTGTGGTGGAATTGATGTGTCATTTAAACTGTCTTATGAAGTGTCTGCAACTGGTGTCAATGTTTCTCTTGAGATTGCATCAGGTGATATAGCAATATGATTCTCATGAGCTTTTGGAAAAATTTCAGCATGTGTCACTTGCTCCTGAGCATCATCATCATCATCAAGTTGACTTGCTGATTCAACATGTGTCACTTGCTCCTGGGCATCATCATCACCAAGTTGACTTGCTGATTCCTGTTCAATACTAGGCTGAGCTAATTGCACTACCAGCTTTGACTGTTTGAGAAGTAAATCACCAGAATCCAGTTCAGCATTCTTGAATGGAAACACATCTTCCCTAAAGCTAACATCCCTGCTGACCAAAAAGACCTTTCTTTCTAGATCATAAAGCTTGTAGCCCTTTTGAGTTGTTCAGTATCCCACCAATACACTTCTATTTGCTCTTGGACTAAATTTATCTCCTTTTGGGAGGTTGCTAGCATAACAGAGACAACCAAATACCTTAAGGTGATTTATGCCAGGTGGCTTATTGTATAAAAGCTCATGAGGTGACTTTCCTTTTAAAACAGAAGTAGGCCATTTGTTAAGCATATACACAGGAATCTTTACACACTTCCCCCAAAACATGTTAGGAATTGAACTTTGGAACTTCAGAGCTTTAGCTACTTTCAGAATGTGTCTATGATTCCTCTCTACTACCCCATTCTATTGAGGTGTGTAGGGACAACTACTCTGGTGAACAATTTCTAATGAAGAAAATAGTTCATTGCATTTAGAATTGAAGAATTCAGTGCCATTGTCAGATCTCAATGTTTTGACAGCCACACCAAATTGATTTTTGACCATTGAAAAGAAGCTCTTCAATACAATTATTACTTCACACTTTCATTGCAACAAACATATCCAAATGAATCTAGTATAATCATCTACCACTGTAACAAAGTAGTGTTTCCTGTCATATGTAGGTATTCTATGAGGTCCCCACACATCTACATGAATAAGCTGGAAAATACTAACAGCATTATTACTACTAGATGGAAATTTTAGCCTGCTGTGCTTAGGCAAGGGGCATATATCACAATTATGCTGCACTCTATTATCCACTGAGTTTCTCAATTGTAGGATATGCTGCATTGCCTTTATTGAAGGATGTCCTAGTCTCATGTGCCATGAGGCTGAGTTATTTGTACTATTGCTGACCATTGCTGCTGTAGGTATTGATCTCCTCTGCAAAAGGTACAGTCCACATGATTCCTTACCAATCCCCATCAAACCCTGCAGCACACAGAAGTCAAGGAAGAACATTGCAATACAACTCAGTTCCTTGATCAGTTTTGAAACAGACAATAAGTTGAACTTAAAGTCAGGAACATGTAAAACATCCTTCAAAACTTCATTGTCCAATATAGAGACACTTTCTGTATGGGATACTTTTCACTTATTTCCTGTTGGTACTTGCACTCCACTATTATTGTATGAACTACAATCCTTAATATCATGCATGATCTCCTTATGAAAGGTAATATGATGTGAAGCACCTGAGTCTAATATCCATTCACAATCAAAGGCATTTGATAACAATGCATTTATACCTGCCATAAGCGAGTGACAGTCACATGTGTCTTGTTTGTTCAGAAGGTTTAGTAGCTGCTTGTATTGATCCTCCGTGAAGAAGCTCCCCTGTGTGTGCTGAGTGTTTGATGTATTCCCTGTCTCAACAGCAACAACATTATCATAAGGTTTGACTCCTTGTACTGTGCTTTCTTCTTACTCTTGAAATCTGGAGGATACCCTATGATCTTATAATAGTTCTCCTTCAAGTGACCTTTGTAGCCGCAAAATTCACAAATCAACCCTGGTTTCTTTGCTTTAAATCCTTGATTGAATGTCTAATTTTTTTTCCAGCTAGCATGGTCAAAACCTCACTATTAGATTCCCATGTTCCGAGGGTTCTTTGGCTCTCTTCTTGTATAACCAAGCATATGCCTGATTGATTGTCAACACAGGTGTTTTGAGTAACACCTGGCTCCTCACATGGATATAGCTTTCATTTAGGCCAACTAAAAACTGTAAAAGTCTCAGATTTTTGAACTGTTCAATGAAAGGCCTTGTTTCCTCACAATCACACCCAGGTCCTGCCACAAACAAGTCCATTTCATCCCAAAGATCCTTCATTTTGGAGTAGTAAACAGTGACTGAATGTGTGCCTTGAGTCAATGATCCTATCATCTTCCACGGCCGATAAGTTTGAGTTAAATTTGATTTGTCAAATCGTTCCTTAAACTCGCTTCAAACCTTTGACGCATTTGATGCATGAATGATGCTAGGTTCCAATTCCACTGCCACTATTTTTCCTATCCACAACAGCACCACTGCATTGCATCTTTCCCATTTAGTTGCTAATTCATCTTTGAATGAGTCTTTTACACAAGTTCCTTCTATGAACCCTAATTTGTTCTTCACCAACAGTGTTGTTCGCATAGCTCGACTCCACAGATCATAATTTTCTAGACCTGTGAATTTTATGTCAATCAATGCCACACCAGGTGTGTCTGATTCTCTCAAGTACAAAGGATGATTGTGATCCATTCGAGGAATTTCAATTTCTGGTTCTCCTATGGTCGCTCTGCTTCAGCAATGGCTTTCTATTGAAACGCTGAAAATTTTGGTCCTAAATCTCGATCGATCGCTCTGATATCATGATAGAATCTCAGATCTATCCTCATAAACTCAGACTCATACACATGCAATTGAAGAATTAACAAATTGGACAATATCGTAGAGAGAGAATGAGAGAGAAGGAGAAGAAGAACTAATCTCTGTATTAACTATCTTTTGGAAGATACATTGTTAACTAATATAACCACTTCACAGGGGTAGTTTAGTGTATAGTTTATCTGAAATGTCATTAGAGAAGTGGTTATTATCTGAAAATGTCATTAGAGAAGGTAGCTGCCACTCGAAGGAAATAGAACTCTGATTTTGCAAAAACTGGACGAAATCTGAAAGGGTTACACGAAAGCATACTCTTTGTAGTACTACTAAATACAAATATTAGACTTCCCTATTTACCTCGTTTGTTTTAGTTTCAGTGTAAACATTATCTTACTTACCTTCTCAGTAGCTATAGAGAAATTAATAAAAAATAGTCAAATTTATAGTGTAACTACACCAAAATCTTGCATCAGATAAGCAAGTAACTACTCCATATTGAAGTACAGCTAGAAGATCAATCAAATAAGAAGCACGTCTGTATCATTATGCAAAGACAGTAAACTAATAAAACATATATGAACAGACTAAAATCTCGTTGCCAAATGACATAACGAATTTTACTAATTTACTTGGCTTATAATTTAGTACTATTTACTATTTACTGTAGGTAAATGTATATAAAACAGCTGAAGACTGTCATATAGGCAAAAGACAGAATCACAAATTAAATTAATGGGTTCAATCTATACTTTTTAAATTATAAGTTCAAATTTTAAAATTTGTTGATTTTTGTGTTTTTTACACACATAGGTGAAAGCTCCATCGCCTCTACACACAGGCGTTAGATAAAAGTGTTGGGTTAAACTCTATCAAAATTATTGTCGGACTGATTGCAAATACTAGGTAAAAATAGTATGGGCTAGCCAGTTTTCGGACCGGTCACTCAAAATAGCTACTATTTTGCTAAAATGTCTTATGAAATTAAACAGGTACAAACTTAATTTCTTAGAAAATATCTGTTGCATCGGGAAGAAAAAGTGAAAGGAGAAAAGGGAACAACAAAAATCAACTACACTTACGAGGACTGCAACATGTACCACTAGACTATAAAACTTCTTAAGGTCAAATCGTTTTAAAATTTATTGATTTTAACTTTATTTAAAATAGTGTAAAAGTCTATTTTACTATCATGTCATTTAAAAAATAATTATATACTATTATCACTAATAAGTGGAATTAGGAATCCAAAAAGCAAGAAAATAAGTTAGCTTCAATATCATGTTAAGTTGCTTTACTAGTTTAAACTTTTCATTACTATGTCTCTATATGGATATAAGTTAGTAAATCATAATTTATTAGTTATCCTTCCGTAGTAGAAATAGTATCAAGTAGCCGCTTTTTGATATGTTATTTAAATATAATCAATTTTTATAATATATTTTAAAATTTAATCATTGGTAAAAACCTTAAACTGCTTCTTCTATATTCAGATCACGAGTGTAAAATTCAAGAGTAATGGTGTAAAACTTCAAAGTTTTCGATGAAAGTTTTTAAACTTTCAAAGTTCTGGAGTTTTGAATTACTAGAGCTGAGAGCCTAAATTCAATTGAAACTTCTTGAGGTAGCTAAATTTTAAATACTTTGCAAGTTTTGATTATGTTTTAAATAGCGGTCCTAAATTCTACAAAATATGATACATTTTGGGGGTGGTTTTAACTTTTGACCCCATTTGTACCATGAGCAAAATTTTATGGTCAAAAATTAAATATATTGCGCAAACAAGGAGTAATACTTGAAGTTCTGTCCATATAGCAAATGAGAATGAAAATTCAAGATCACATTGAGGGCTATTTGTGTACTTCATCCCCTAAAATTGGCTATTTGTGCACTTTGCCCAAGTTGCCATCTGGTTCAGCCTGCACCTGAATGGGCTCAATTCATTATGTGTGTAACTTCAAGTTTACACACAAAAATATAAAATTAGTGGGATCACACCAATTCCAATTATTAAATTTCAGCTTCACCATGACTTCACGGCATCGGTGATCGATTGCTGCGATTTGAATTAAAAAAAATAAGAAGAAAGCGAAAGTTCTTCGACTCTTACCTTTCTCTTTATAGAGAAGAGAGGCGAGAAGAGAAGATAATAATGGGAAGTAAAGGAGCCGGAGGAAGTGAAGCACAGAAATACGTATGGGAAGGAGCAATTCCACTACAGATTCACCTTCATGAATCCGAAGTCACTACTCTCCCTCCTCCTCCCCCTGCTCTGGTACTCTCCTTTTCCCTTTTTGCCCTATTTTATTACTACACGAAATATTCTTGCTTTGATGAATGTGCCTAGGTTTGGTTTTTAATGAATCAAAATTTTGAATCTGTAATTGGAATTAATAGTTTAAGTTTCTGAATGTGCCTATGCTAAAAAAATTTACTAAAGTTTAAGCTGAATTGACTAGTGAGTGGAGAACCCCTGATGACTCATTGGGAAGGGGAGAGAGTGAGAGTTTGTCTGAATTGACCGCCGAAGATTGGTTTAGAGTAAAAAGTGCGTCCAGCTCAGGCTGGATCACGCGTTACGCTGGGGCAAGTAGAATCACCGCTGAACCATTGGAAGGGGGAAAGAAAGCCTAAAGCTGAATTTACGAAATGATGGTTTGGTGATAACACGCCACCACCTGTGTATCAAGGGTTGAAGACATGAGGGGAATCGCTGTTGATCGGTTGGGAAGAAAAAAGAAAGTTTTAAGCTGAATTCACTAGTGGATTGTGGCACTGCAGAGTAATGTTGAGGGCTGATAATTTTTGTCTATTGTGAAGGGGAGCCTTAGCACAATGGTAAAAGTTGCCGCCATGTGACCTGGAGGTCACGGGTTCAAACTGCGGAAACATGCAAGAGAAATGCAAGGTAAGGCTGCGAACATAAACTCAAGATGGTCCGACCTTTCCCCGGACTCAGCTATAGCGGGAGCTTAGTGCATCGAGCTACCCTTTTTGAGGTTCTGGGATTTGTGGTTTACATTAGTCTTTGGGGTAATTGCAAAACCCAGTTTTTAGGAAGCAAGTGGATTTTCTTTCTTTGTTACTCGTGATGTACATGTGTAATATGGTTATAGGAGAGGCTTTAAGAATGTTAATATGAAAAATATAACCGTTTCGAATGATTGCTTAAAGAGTCAATGTGATTCTGCATTAGAATAGAAATATTTTCTCCTAAAGATCCCAAACAAAAATATAGCTGCTTTTTGAGAATTGAGCACAGCTTGGTTTGGATAGTATTTTCTCTCTTACTTCCAGTTGACCATACTCGTCAAATTTCTTCCTGGTTTAAAGAAGATCAATCATTGCCTATAGAACCGGTGTGTCAGTTGGTTTCAATCTGTTTCTTCATGAGTCGAATCTTATCATCCATGTCAAACCTAATCCTGGACACAGTGACTGTGAAATCAGTGATCCTCTGCAGCTACTTAATTTACTGCTGCCTCGTGGCTATTACAAACACATAAATGAAAGCATATTACCCCAATGCAGAAACTTGAATGTGTGTGTTTGTGTGCATTTATATTTAATCTACACTAGCTAATTTATGTATTTGATGGTGTTTTATATTGCAGATTTTAGCTCCTCGAATAGGTTACCTGCCTCTTTTAGGAACAAAAATAAAACCTTTCTTCAGTAATTCACTTCCTCCTGGTGTAGATACCGTATGGTTTGAGTACAAAGGCTTGCCTCTCAAATGGTACGCAATACCCTCATGCCAATCAGTATATTTTAGCATAATCTTGGTGTAGAACTGCTGTGTTGTTCAAGTATATTCTTGTGCTCGAGACAAATTGTGGTACATAGATGACATTAATGACTTCATTCTCAACGGATGTGGATTTCTTTGTTCTATATTAAACATGTATCTGATGTTTTTCTCGTTCAAGTAGCATATGCTCCAGAAATATACTATAGTCTTTGTTTCAGTTCATCTTGTTCTTGTCTTACAGCTTTCTTGGTTCCATATCTCACCATCCATTATTTTGTTCTTGTCTTTTCTTGGTCCCGTATCATACCATTCAGCTATCTCATTCGTTTTCACAATATGAATCAATCATGTGTCACTTCTCTTTTTTCTGTTGATATCTGTTGATGGTAGCCTTAGGACATTATCTGCATCTCGGATGGTATAGAAGTTGATGATCTTGAATTGACTTATTCATTCTGGAAGGTTTTCTTGAATAAATTTGAAGAATCTAGAGAAGGTGATATCAAGTTGGGGAACAGGTTTACTTGAATAAATTTGAAGAATCTAGAGAGGGTGATATCAAGTTGGGAAACGTTTTTTGTCAGCTTTTCTCGTTTTCCTCATTTAAGTGTATTTATGTGTGTTTGACTGCCCTTAAATTAGTTTTGTATGCGATTAACAATTTGTTCTTATGGATATTTGCATTCTTGATGCAGGTATATACCAACTGGGGTACTCTTTGATCTTCTTTGTGCAGAACCTGAACGTCCTTGGAATCTGACGGTATGTCGATGTATTTTGCTTTAAACTATGAGGAACTATCAGCTGAAAGTAACACCATCTTTGCTGGACTTTCCAGGGGAAGGGTAGTGAAAATTGGTAACTTAACTTGATTTTATAAGATTTAGGCAGTAAATAATAAGTGGAAGAAGAGGGATGCAACCCATGACGTCATCTTTTTCAAAGCCTCATCTTCTCCACTAAATTGAGGAAGAATTAGAGTGATTGGTACCAATATATGAACTCTATTTCAGTGTCTAATGAACTAAATTTGCAAGCTACTACATTTTCTGTTACTTCCTTTTTGACTTTCGAGAAAACGGAGGTTGAAGCTATTTGCTCATCAGTTGAAGAAAGACAAACCCTTTTGTCTCTTACAAAGCTAAGATTGCAATCTGTCACCTTTCTCCTCTCCCATGGTTTTGTGCCAAAAATAATCTAATGTTTAGATAGTTCTAAGCATGGCAAGGATGGGAATATGTATAACTACTGAATAAGAGATTGCTGGGCATGAATATTCTCTCCACCATATTATATTCTCAAAGATTTCAGATCCATTTAGATCAATGGCTCCTTGCATTTTATTGGTAGATCATATAAGCCCAGTAGCTCAATACAATTTGTGCGTATTATGACACTTAGATTGGTTTGAATAATAGGAGGTAAGGAAAGAGTAAGGTAAAAATATAGTTCACTTTAAGTTATAGTAATCTAAATTACTTTATATACCTTTCCCTCCATACCAGTTGACCCTAAGTTTTCCTTATAGTATATTCATTTGATTATTAAGTTGTTTGCTCAATTCATTAATGTGTAGTCTGTGGATTAAGGTTGTGTAGTTGTACAGGTTGCATACACTGGAAAGTGATGTGCAACTGGTCTCAGTTGTCCTTGTCATGCTTGTTGATGCCATGAATCTAAAACATAAAAGTCTAAATCAAATTCAAGATGATAAATTAGGCAATATATTTCTATAGTTTGGTCATGTCCTACGTAAACCTCCAAATTATCTGGTCCATTGGTGTCATATTGGGTGGTTGAAGATGTTAATGGGGCAATATAGATTAAAATCGTGTAGAGATTTGTTTCAAAATCTAAAGTCGCTTGAAATCAATGCGGATTTAGTTAATAATATTCATAATAAAAGCAAAGGATTCATATAGATGATACCAAATAGTGGGAATTAAGACTTAGCTGTTGTTACACATTCATTAGGTCTGATATTTGTCAGGAGTCGTTTAGTCTGGTTGGAAATTTGTGTGTCAATATAGTGAAACGTGAGACCAAGAATTCCTCTAACGTTAGAGAACCCTAATGTGCCTTAATAGACAAATTATTTGATAGTATTGGAGCAAAATGGTCCGGGTTCAACAAAATGAATGTAAGTAGGTCATATAGCCGAGCCAAGTAGTTCGAAATTGAGGTGCAGTTGCTTGCTTGATTGGGTTACTCTTTAGTACTTAATTATTTTTGGAGGCAGTTAATTATTAGATTTATTATACTGTAGCTTATCCTAATATACTAGCATCAATTTAGCTAAGATGATTTTTTGTTACCATTCAAAAAAAAAGGTTCTATTTATCTTGTGGTTTTAGTATATTTTGACCTGTCTAATCCAAAAATTGACATTAAAGTGGAAACCAACACATTCAACATTCTTGAAAGGTAACAACATCAAATTACAATGAATTAGATATGTCAGGAGTCGTTTAGTCTGGTTAGAAATTTGTGTGTCAATATAGTGAAACGTGAGACCAAGAATTCCTCTAACGTTAGAGAACCCTAATGTGCCTTAATAGACAAATTATTTGATAGTATTGGAGCAAAATGGTCCGGGTTCAACAAAATGAATGTAAGTAGGTCATATAGCCGAGCCAAGTAGTTCGAAATTGAGGTGCAGTTGCTTGCTTGATTGAGTTACTCTTTAGTACTTAATTATTTTTGGAGGCAGTTAATTATTAGATTTATTATACTGTAGCTTATCCTAATATACTAGCATCAATTTAGCTAAGATAATTTTTTGTTACCATTCAAAAAAAAAAGGTTCTATTTATCTTGTGGTTTTTAGATTATTTTGACCTGTCTAATCCAAAAATTGACATTAAAGTGGAAACCAACACATTCAACATTCTTGAAAGGTAACAACATCAAATTACAATGAATTAGATATGTGAAAGCAATATCTAGAATATCATTTGAACGATTACTTTAATGAAAGAAATGATATATTATAATTGCTTCTGCGAGTGTATCAAAGCCTAAGGTGGCCAAAATATCATCGGTATTGTTTTGACTTTTGACGATAGAGGTCGAACTACCTTGCTTACTTGGAACTTAAATTTTTATATTGTTTTACCATGCATTGCTTAATAAAACAAGTTACTATATTATCATCAATGCATCTCACTTTAATGGAGACACCTTCATGCACTCTCTCTGCAGGTACATTTTAGAGGATATCCTGGAAATATTTCAACACCTTGTGAAGGCGAAGATAGTGCAAAGTGGAGTTTTATCAATTCACTAAAAGAGGTTAGGTATAGTTTCTTTTGTTTGCTTCTGCACTGTTAACTTCCTTTCTTGTATGTTACAAGTGACAATGTGGCTTGTAAAAGTATGATCCTGCCTCATTCTTTGGTGTCATGCTGGTGCTGCGCCATTTTGGTGTTAGACGTATCTAATTGCTAGTGAGTTTATGAAGTTAGCTTAATTTACATACAGTTGATTGTATATTTTTTATCATGTTTAAGCCTTTAAGGAAGCTAAATTACGTATCAAGTTAACAATAAGTTCATTCCAAATGCATCTTCTGGTTTATAATATGCAAATTCTCTCCCTTCATTAAAAAAAAATCAAATTCTCCATGAACCTAAGTTGCGCGGACTCTTCGATTTTGGTGTCGTCCCCATCCCGATACGAGATGGGGACGGGGACAGGATACGTCCCGGATTCGGTCAACTGACTTTGGACACTTCGACCGGAGTCCATCGACAAATTTGGGAGAAAAATTGAGATTTTGATTTCTCTAAATCAAAAGTAAAACAGATTTAGGAGAATGAAAAAATAATGTCCATCTTGTAGAATGAAAGATTGAATTCTACAATATTCATGTAAGTTTTTCATAGAATATCTCTCAAAATTTACAATATTTTTATAGCTCTATTTTTTATTAGCCGAATCCCCGCACCTGTATCCATATCCGGATCCGCACCCTCGAATCTTAAAATTTAGATTTTGCCGAATCCGATACTCGGATCCTTCCCCGCACCCGAGTCCGAGCAACTTAACCGTGAACAACTGACTATGTTGGTGGTTAGAGATGTGAATCTGAGC